AGTTAAGTTAAACCGAAAATTATTGCTTAACACTTGTTGAAATTTGTGGACAATTTATAAGTTAAGTTAAGCTGAGATCATTGTTTAACACTTGTTGAAATTTGTGGACAATTTACAAGTTAAGTTAAACCGAAAATTATTGCTTAACACTTGTTGAAATTTGTGGACAATTTACAAGTTGAAGTTAAGCCGAGATTATTGTTTAACACTTGTTGAAATTTGTGGACAATTTACAAGTTAAGTTAAACCAAAAATTATTGCTTAACACTTGTTGAAATTTGTGGACAATTTACAAGTTAAGTTAAGCCGAGATCATTGTTTAACACTTGTTGAAATATGTGGACAATTTAAAAGTTAAGTTAAACCGGAAATTATTGCTTAACACTTGTTGAAATTTGTGGACAATTTACAAGTTGAAGTTAAGCCGAGATTATTGTTTAACACTTGTTGAAATTTGTGGACAATTTACAAGTTAAGTTAAACCGAAAATTATTGCTTAACACTTGTTGAAATTTGTGGACAATTTACAAGTTAAGTTAAGCCGAGATCATTGTTTAACACTTGTTGAAATTTGTAAACAATTTGCAAGTTAAGTTAAACCGAAAATTATTGCTTAACACTTGTTGAAATTTGTGGAAAATTTACAAGTTGAAGTTAAACCGAGATAATTGTTTAACACTTGTTGAAATTTGTGGATAATTTAGAAGTTAAGTTAAATCGAAAATTATTGCTTAATACTTGTTGAAATTTGTGGACAATTTACAAGTTAAGTTAAGCCGAGATCATTGTTTAACACTTGTTGAAATTTGTGGACAATTTACAAGTTGAGTTAAACCAGCATGATGTTCAACACTTGTTAAAAGTTTACAAGTTAAGATTAAAACCAAGAAGTTTGTCTATCCGAGGTGTGTCACCCCAAGAAGATTGTACAAAGAAGGAAGAGTATGTGAAAGACATGCAGAATATTCTAAGTGTAGAATCACGCCAGAGCAGCCAAGAAAAGACAAAAGTACAAGCATTCAATAAAAGAAAAGTTGTATTAGCATTCACCAAAGAAAGGGCACATTGGCCATACAAAAAGCTTATATTGTTTCAAAAAACAAAGTATAAGAAGGGAAAGAAAAGACATGAAAATTAAGGTTCCTCAGCATCAGCAGCAACTTGGGTTAAGATCTCAGAAGACTGTTGAGAAGCAACCTCGGTCACCTTCTCCGCCACGAGCTCGGCGTCAATTTCTGCAAGAGTTTCATCTACACTCTTGTCAGCAAGAGGAACGACGACCGATGTCTTCTTAGCCGCAGCATCGTTTAGAGCCTCCTCACCATCCTCATCCTGAGTCAAGTCTAGGACTTGCTCATTTTGTGGAAAAGACTTGGTCATAGTGGCCTCTTTTTGTTTCCTTACCAAAACTTCTTCCTCGGCCTCATCCTCAGTATCAGATTCACTAGGAGGTGGAGTTGGAGGAAATGGCAGGGGAATGGCATCAGCGTTCCTCAGGGAGGAATCCTCAGGGACATCAAGTTTTTTTAGCAAAGTCATCCAACTAAGTGAGAAACCCTTGTTGCATGCTTGCTTGACTTGCTTTTCATAAGCCTCTGTCACATCGGCCATGCCCTCGGCATCTTTGATTTCGGCCTCCTTGGTGGCCAAGGCATCTTGAAGCTCCCTCTGGGCCTGGGCCACTTTGTCCTCAGCCTCTTTCAACTGGGCTTGAAGAACTTTGTTTATTGCCTCAGCGGCACCGACCTTCTCCTCGGCCTCATCTTTTTCTTTAATGGCAGCCTCGGCCTGGTCCTCCAGCTTCTTCATTTTTGATTGAAGGCCTTTGTTGGTTTTTTGAAGGCTGGAGACCTCCCTTTTCATCTCAGCAAGCCTCTCCCGGTTCTCAAAGGACTGCATTGAGAAAGAGTGGGCATGTTGGATGGCCTGAAAGAAAACAGAGATATTAGAAAATATTCTAAGTATGAAATAAAGAAGAAGAAAGAAAAAGTGCCAAGCAATAACACTTACCTGAACAGAGCGTTGAAGCATGAGAGCGAAATTCTCATACTCGCTGAACTCGGCGTTTCGCTCTAGGTCGCCTGGAAGAAGCAACGCAGTACTGAGGGCAACGCCGACATTGATATCGTCGGCGCTATCACTAGCCATAACAGGCTTATCTTCTAGGGTAATTTCGGGGACCCAAGGGGCATCTGGCTTCTTAGACCTCGAGGTCATTGCAGATGACCTCGGCCTCTTGGACTTGGTGGATTTAGAAGAAAGTGTTTCAGCAGACCTCTTTGTAGGGACAGAGGCAGTCTTTTCACTTGGAGCCAGCTTGGAAATTGGCAAAGTGTCTTTAGTTTCAACCTGAGTCACTTTGGCCTTTGGTTGAGCCTTCTTAACTCTTTTCGGCTTCGATGGAGGCGAGGCTCGTGTTGATTGAGCATCAACATCAGTTGGAATATTGGCTAAGAGATCTTTGGCAACTGGTTTTGCGCGGCCCATCTCGGCTGCAACAACAAGACGTCGGCGATGTTTTCGTTGAGATGGTGGGATTAAGTATGGAGCTGAGGTCGACGGCTGTTCTGCTGGATCAGAGGTTGATCCTTGGTCTGTTCGAGATGTTGATGCGGCTTGTGGAGTTATGGCAGAGGGAAGAGATAAGCTCTTCTTCTTTTTTCTCTTGGGAACGTCGGGAAGAGTTGATTTGTATGTTGGAATAAAATTAAGGAGCAGAGGCGCCTTCCGTTTATGGACCGGCAGGTCTAAGAGTTTCTTCAAATCCTTGCTGGGAAAGAAGGATTGGTGAAAATTTTTTGGCGGCTTAGGAACAGCTGCAAGAAAAACAGACATTAAGAAACAGATGAAGTATGCAAGACTTTAAAAACAAGTAAGTATGAATGCAGGGCTCTTACCATTACCCTCTACAAAGACTGATCGAGGGAGAGGGAAGAGATGAAGGTCTTCATCTGGGGCAAACTCCCAGTTCCCCGAAGTAATGAAATAATCGTCCCCAGCTCCCTTGTTGGAGTCTGGGAGGTCGGCTACGATTTTGAACTCTGTGGACCTCGGCTTAAGGTAATAAATATTGCTTTTTTCTTTCAAGTTAAGGCCGCACATAGTATAGCAGTATTGAATATCGGCTAGGGTGATCCTAGCGTTTTCCTGTTTAGCTAAGGCTATGATACCGTTAATCACTCGATAAGAATTGATGGCAAGTTGCATGGGGTTCAACTTATAATAATGGAGAATCTCGCGAAACAGGATGTTAAGTGGAAGCCGAAGTCCACACTCAATAAATGCAACTACAGGGAAAGGCATGGTGTCGTCAGTAGGCATGATGGAGTCATCATCCCCAGCCAACCTCAGATGGATGTCGGCTGGGATTTCAAACTCTCGCCTAAAGTATTCAAGTTTGGATGGGGTGTTTACCCTATGTTTCCACATACCCATAATGTCGGCTTAGCTAAAAGCACGGGATTTCAGAAAGAAGATATTCTAAAGGGATTTTTGGGACCTCGGTAAAACCCTAGGTATGTGCTAATGCAATGAACTGTTTCAGTTTTTCCTAGGAATCGAAGGTTCTACAAACAAATCCCAAACCTAAAACTATGAAGACGAAGATCAAAGGCACAGATCTGGAAAAGACACAAAAAACAGAAAACAAAAACGAAGTTTCAGAATCAAGAACAGAGATGGGCTATCAAAAGCATGAAGAATACAAAGGGTTGAAGACCAAGAACAGTGGTAAAACGTGCAAGAAAATTATGAACAGTACATAAGCAAAAGGCAAAATCAACGCATTCATGTGTATAATTCGCAAAATCAGATATTCGAGCAAGACAGTAATGGCAACAAATTCAAGAAAAACTAAAGAAACTAAAGTCAGGAGGAATAATGGATTACCAGAAGAGGAACGAAGCCGGTGTTAAGCTTGCCGAGATCAGACGACGGTAGCCGACGGTAGAATCAGCACGAAGCTAGCCTGAAGAAAGCAAACAACAGAGGTTATAGTGCTTTGGAAGCTTGAGCAATGGAGGATTTCGAAGGATAAAGAGAGAGCTAGAGAGAGAAAAAGTTCTTCAGAAACAAGAGTAAAGTGAAAGGGAAAAGACGAAAACATGTTTTGTTAAAAACAGAAACGGCGGCAAAAATGTAATCAATACGCCTAGAAGAACATATGCGTCAGATGGCGCACGTGAATGAGAGACGGCTTATAGGCGCGTCGCATGTACGAACTGGTAAGAAAGAAACGCGTGGCTCAAAATGGTTGAATTATGAATGATCTCGGCTGGGAAATTTTAAGTCGATATATTTTCAAACAATATATAGATAGACACACAAAAACAAAATGGTTGAGTGGTAGCAACTGAATAGAATAGCATAGGTCTTACAGTTTCAACAAATCAATAGCATGTTCTTTATCTTCCCTCTTCTCTCTCTCTATATCTTATTCCTCCATCTTTCCTCTTCTCTCTCTATCTCTCTTCCCCCATTTTCAATTTTTTTTTTGTGTGTTTTTTCGAAAGAAACAATACGGAACCGTTACATAACGGAGCGTGACAGGCTGTTACGGCTGTTACAGCACCGTTACGACCGCTATAGTAGCCGCTACGGCCAATACACCTGTGAATCTCAATCACAACTGCAAAAGCGGCCGTAACGGGTGGCGGTAACTACCACAACCGTTACGTAACGGTTGCGGCCGCTTTTTAAAACCTGGATTGTGACCAATCTCTATTGTACAGAGATACTTTGAATACGCTGAATTTATTTTCCCCGGGAGTGAGATTCCAAAGTGGTTCAGTCATCAAAGTAGGGGGTGTTCAGTATCGTTTGTGTTGCCTCCACATTGGTATAATGACGGGTTCTTGGGATTTGTTTTCGCTGTTGTTGGAATCAAGAATAAATCTAAGTGCTGCAAGTGTTATTATTCTATTGTAATTGGAAACATTTGCAGTAGAGTGTCCGAGTTGAAGACAATTTTATTTGGTGCCAACTGAGTTCAAGGTACATACCTAGTCAAAGCAGCCACTTTCACTTGGTCCTAAACCTTTTGATATTGAAGTGGTCCTCCTCCTGATCATCGAATCCGCCACTTCGACCGGGTCCTACTGCTGCTACATCATAGTCATTGTTGTCATTGAGGTCATCACGTTCTCTCTTTGATGTAGTTCCCCTAGCACTAGCAACTTCTACTCCTGATCTATCCAAGTCTCCATGGAACACACCCACACCCATGTTATCTTCAGGTCTATATATAATCAATGCTGCTTCATCAGCTTTCTCGTATAGTAAATGGATGCCGAACTTTTCGACCTCAAAAATATGCTCCCGTTCAGGTGCAGCACAGCATACCGAATCCTTTTCAAATCCTCCCCCTAAGCACTTATGACTGACTTGAACTAAACAAACTTGAAATTCAATTCCACCCTCATTCAATTGCTCCATATGATCTTCCATTAGTCCCAGAAAATCAGTGCATGGAAAATAAATAACTTATACATTTCCAGAATTCGCTAATCGAAAATATAGAAATGGTGTACAACATTTTTCGATGATCGTCTGAGTACCAAGGCACTTAAATGTCATCTTAAAAGAAAAGCACTCGTGGCACTTGGATTTATCCTTGATTACAACAGCAGCTAAAATAATTCCCAAGAACCATCTGTTATACCAACGTGGAGGCAACTCAAAAGATATTGAAGAACCCTTACTCTGATGACTGAACCACTTTAGAATCTCACTCCCAGGGAAAACAATAAAAGAAATAGATTGCTGTCCACTAGAATTCCTCTGCACAATAGAGATTGGTCACAATGCTTGCCTGCGTGCACAGAGAGAGAGAGAGAGAGAGAGAGAGAGAGAGAACCTGAAATAAATTTGAAAGAAAATTTTCTGTCAGGATGTTGTTCTGCTTGTTCTTAATCAGTTTGAAGCAATTCATGAAAGAAAAGATGTCAACATTTTTGAATATGGATGGACTCAATATTGTTCTTAATGACGTGCAATCATCAGCTAGTATTTTATGTACTGATGATGAAAACTCTGGCAGTTCTTTAAGCCTCTTGCAACCTTCCAAATGCAGGCTTGACAGCTTCGAAAGTTGATTCATGTTTGCAGGTAAACTTTCAATGCTGTTTCCACTGAGATTTAATTGTTGCAACGAGTAGATGTGGCAAATGGATGTGCGGATAGATTTTAAATTACAGTAACTGGGATCTAGTTCTTGTAAAGACTCTAACCTTGACAAAGCTGCTAGTTCCAAAGTCATGGAATTCTCTCTCTGTCTAAATAAAGTTAAAGGCAAGAAAAAAGAACTCCATGAATTAGATGTTAGTCTTTTACACCCGCTGTTAGCACCATAAATCTGTAATTTTTATTATCATTTATTATTTATATAATTGCAGGACATGTGGCATCCTTCCACTCATTTGGAGGTTATGAGAAGTTATGAAGGCATGGAGGGTTATGTGACATTATGGGAATGAAGATGGAAGAGTGGGTAGTTTTAGGTGGTTATTGGGTAGTTATTGCTGGAAGTTTTTTCTTACAAATATTTGTCTATAAATAGCCATTTATGACTACATTGTAAAGGACCCAGAATTCAAATCAAAGACAATTGATTTCTATTTTTCTTGTCATTTTCCTTAGGAGTAGTTTAATATAGATTTCATTTATTTTCAGCATTTTCTTTTCGAAGCATTTTATGCACTTTCTTTTCGAAGCATAGGAGTAGAGGTAAGTAATTATTACTTTGATTGTTCACTCAATTGTCTTTCTCCGTCCTTCTTTCTTCTTTTACTTTTTCTTTTCTCTACACTTGATAATTTTGAAGTCCTCTTCATTGAGGCAAAAGAACCGTCAACGCAATCGCTTGATAATTGGCTTGAATTTAATCTGTAAGGATTTTTCAATCCTTGCTGGCACGCTCACATTTATGATATTTTTCTTCGTAGGAAAAATAAGCCAACAATTTTTGGCACGCCCAGTAGGACGTCAAGTGTAATAAATGAAAAATGAATTGGATTTGTCCATTTCAAATAGCCTAGATGAAATTTATTGGTGTAAACAAGAAATTTTGGATCTTCAAGAAGAGATCTATTTTCTTGATAAAATAAATTTTCATCCCTTACAATATTATTTGATGGAAGAAAAAAGACACCATTTAATTGGAGAAATTCATTAACTTGATATGGAAATTCGCCAATGGAATAATGAGTTATCAACTCTCACTACCAAGTCTTTAACTGAGGCCTTAATGGCCGGAATTGGTGAATTTTTTCAGAATTTTTCCATGGTTAAAAATAGCAAAAGCAAAGAATTGATTTCATCAATGGCTCAGAAGGTTCAAGAGTCCGTTTTTAGAGAGCCAAATTATGAAATTAACATAACGAAAGAGCATGTTCTTGAGCCAAATTTGGTTAAAAATGATGTTCCATGCATGGCTCGGGGGGTGTAGACGTCCCCGAACGCGCTGGGAGGAAATCTCCCGTTTTGTTCATTACGGACTTACTACAGTTCGGACTCAAATCGTCACGGTTCTAAATCTGAACCAAAGAGTCCAACTCCGGCAAATCGTTTTTGAAAACAATTTTTTTGAAAGAAATGCCAAACATGGACTGCTTTGCCAGATACAGAGTCGCTATCTAAATATTTTATTTTGGGGAAATTTAAGAAACCCTGACTCGTTTGCCTAAGGCCACGTGTCCGTCATCACCAAAGTTGCCTCGGCTCGGAAACTTGGGTACGATTGGGGAAGGTTAGCTATGAGCACCCCCGCTCGCCCGATCAAAGATCGGCCTCTACTAACCATGATATCTAGTTTTGAAAACATTATGTGTTCTTATCCCGATTAATTAGCTAATCTTACTATGTGATGCGCACAACACAAAAGTATAGACTAGATCGCCTAATTTGGAACAAAGCATCGCATATCCGTTTGTTTGGAAATCGGTTTGAAATTTGCTACTCGCAAGTAGGGTAAAACACGGATTTCAATGAGTTGTTCCAACTCAAACAATCCAACCTTCATCCACAGGCATTCAGACAGTTATATCACATAAGCATATAGTCCCATGGTAAGCATGTTATCATGGCAGTCACTCACACGCATGCAAGGATGCTAAAGCGTAAATGCTTACCTAGTACTCCAAGCCAAAACAGAAATTAGTTAGTAATCAAATGCATGATCCTAGTTCATGTTAAAATGGCTAATGCAACACATGCAAAAGTGCAACCTAGATAGGCTCGGCTATTCTAAACATGGCATATGAAATGCAACAAATAACATGTATTCAACTTGAGATTTGAAATACCATGCAGTTAGTATGATGCGCCGAGCCCGGTGCATGCAATACAGATGAATGAATGCACGCATGCATAGCATAAGGTATGCTAATTTAAAATATGCCCTAATACTAACCATTGAAAGCAGATAAATAAAAGGGAGAAAGAAGTAGGGGTTGGAAGACATACACACACTCACACACGCTTATTACACAATTGCCCTCGCTCGGAGGGTCCGATTAAATATTACAAAACAAATAAATAATTGACTATTCTAACTAATTAAATATTACAAAAAATTCTAATTGATTAACAAATTAATTACAGAAAGAAGGTGGCTCAGCCCCGCCTCAGAATGCGTGAATGATGCATGCTTGACTCGCCTTGCTTGGAAACTTGTACCATGCCACTGTTGCCCCTGTTTACACTGCCTTGCTCCTCTGAAAATTATGAAAGTTTCCAGTACTGCTTTGAACTTCATCCTGAGTGTTTTGGAGTTCCACCGGCCATGGGAAGGGGATTATCGGCCAAATCTTGTGTCATCGGCTGGACACTGATGGCCGGTCGGCACTATAAGTGGCCGGTCGGCCGTTTCTTTCTGCAGAGCCCTGTTTTGACAGCAGCAGGGGACAGGCAGTGCATGGTATGGAATTTTCAAAAGCAATGTGTGCATGGCCACTCTCCCAATCATGCTATAGACTCAAGGGAGTATCGCCCTTGGTACTCGGGCCATCAATCACGTATTTTGATGCATGATGGCCAAAGACACCAAGTTTGCAACTTAATGTGAATGCATGCAACAAAACAAATGAGTGCTAACGCCCTATCATGTTGAGATCAAGGGCATCGGCGACCGAGGGTTGAGACGTGTTTCGTCACTTTGAGTACGAACACACCTCACCCCTCAAGTTTGGTTTGACACCCCAAACCAAACAAGATGCAATGCGCGTATGCCATATACAATGTAAAGTGATGCAACTCATGCAATGCAATATGAGCACGCTAAGCTAATGCAACATGACATTACCTAATCATGCAAGCTAAACCAATGCAATGCAACATGTCAAACATGCAAAGTATGCAAAGATGGACTTATATTGAAATGAGAAGGCCTCAACCCACCCTAAAACAGTGGCCAAAGTGCATGGAAGTGATGGACTAAACACCTTCAAATGTGCACCTATGGAAGTCTAACACTTAGGCATGCAAGATGTCAACTCTCAAGCGCATTAAGAAGAGACAAACATGGACAAATCACCAACATAATGAGCTCTGAAAACATGTAAAAGACAATGCCAAATCCACTATGTTATGCAAGCAAGGCATGCAACAATGACTAAAACTTGAAGCCAACAAAAGGGTCCGAACCATGGCTATGTCATCCAAACCCCAAAGGATCAAAATGACCTAGAACAGTCCTAAAGCACTCCAAAATAAGACTAAATCATGCATGGACAATGGTCAAGACATGCCAAGAAAAGGGGCCAAAACAAAGGACATTCAAAGCCACAAAATGGAGTATTACTCTACACCTACCCCAACCACTCATGGCATGGATTATGCAACCCAAAACAGAGTTTTAATGCATCAAAATACACCCAAAACCCCTCTAATATGGCAGCCCAAATGACTTAAACAAAAGGCATGCACTATGACTCAAACATGGAGCATAAGATCACATTTCTTCAAGGCATTGAAAGGATAAAAAATGCAAGCATGTAAGCACAAAATATGGACTGAAATGACATAATAAGTGATTCCAAATCACTGAAATAGCCAAGGTAATGCATGCTAATGACTCACACACCCGATGCCAACATGCTAGAATGCAAAGGGACTATACAAAGCATGAAAGGTGTGACCAAATCAACACCCAACAGATCTCAAGCATGATGAAACATGACCAAAAGCTTCACGAAGCTAGGCAAAAATATGCAAGCATGGTGGTCTAATGACAAGATGCACTTCTAGGCAAAATGGAGGAATACAAGGCAAGTATATAATGCATAAAAGGGGCCATTAATCCGACCAAAAACAGAGATATATTATGACCTAATAACACCCAAGAACCTCTGAAATGGAGCCCAAGACAACTAATCATGCATGCTACCCTTATGAGCCAAAAACATGAACAAAGGAGAGACAAAGGGAGGGGGGGCGTCCCTCCCCTATGCAAGACCACAAAACTTCTTCTTCACCACTGAAAATCCCTTGGATTTCAGTGGTGAGAAGGCCAATACACTAGGATTCCCGAAGCTCAACAAAGAAAGCACAAAAAGGGCCAAACAAGGCCTAAGAGGGGGAGGTCGACCCCCAACACCAAAGTGACCTTAATGAAGCATCTTAAGCATGCAAATACAAGAATTTTTTTAGTTATACACAAAGTCTAAAACAGCATGCAAAGTGGGTTAAAAACTAGTGCAAGAATGGAGAATATAAAGTAAATAGTGTTACCCTTGAAGAACACTTGAAGAGCAGCAACCTCAGCCCCCTCCTTATGATAAAAACCAGTTCAAAACTCCAAGAACAACCTCTCAATACCTCCACAACCGAAGTAAGGTGTGCTACTAGGTGACTTAGTGCAAAACTAAGACCAAAACACACTTTTGGGCCCTCCAACACACACAAATAAAGAGAGAGAGAGAGGGAGTTATAGAGAGAGAAGGTGTATATAACAGATATATGTGATATTAGGTCTGGTTTTGCTGAACCTCTTAAAAGGAGAGGGAGAGCCCTCTTATATAGACAAGGCAAAGACCTAAGCTTCCAAGAGAAGCTAAACAAAAGGGGTCAAGGCTTCTTAAACAAGCTAAGGCAAAGCGGCTAAGGCTTCCTGAGGAAGCTGAGACAGGGGTTCAAGCTTCTTGAGGAAGCTAAGACAAAGGTCCAAGCTTCCTCAAGAAGCTAGGCCAAAAGGGTGCAACTCCTCCATACACGTGTATGGAGGACAAGTCCGTGCACTCCAGTTGGCACAGATGGCATGCACCATGCCTGAAAAAGGCAAAAAGGAGGTACCGGCCAGAAAAGGGGACCATCGGCCAAATGAATGGTCGACTGACCACACAAAATGCCGACCGGCCATCACCGATGGCCGGTAGAAAGAAGACAAGGCCGGTGGCTCTAAGCCATGGCCGGTGAGATGTGGGGATGACCAACAAGCCATTCCCTACCCTCAGAAGCACAAAACACAAGTCCTTGGTGCAAAACCAAGTATAGAACAGGCAAGTTAAGAGATCCTGAGGCAAGGCAAGCGGTCGAGGCTTTCGGGAACTCAAAACGAACACGAACATGGATGATCACCGAGTGTTCAAACGGTGATGTCCAAGTCTTGAGGATAGTCAAAAATGGGGTGTCTACAGGGGGTCTTAAAACCAATTTTTAGAGAGTCAAGCCATGAAAATAACATATCTGTGGGTGATTTTCATAAGCCATTAATGGCTAACATGGAAAAACAACCCACTTTTCCAAATAATTATGAAAATCTATTCGGCAAAAGTCATGTTTTTAAAACAAACATGGCCAAAAATAATGAACAAGCCACTGTTCATGAATTCAAATTTTTTTGACATTTTTCAAAATGTCAAAAAGTATGAATTTTCATGGTCACACTATACAATGACTTTTGTTGTTCGAAATCCATTTTGGATTTGTGGATCACATCAAACGTTGACTTTGATGGAATGACTAACAAATAATATTTCGTTATTGCAATATATTGAGCCAAAAATGTTGTTATTAGCTGATCCATAAAACCATCACCATTTGGTTTTGTGGTTAGCTTCGAAGCATGTCTCAAGACACTTCGAAGTAGATTATTCATTGAAATATCATTTTATAGCCATTAATGGCTAGTTAAAATGCCAAACTAATTTCATAATAATCCAACTCTTTGGATTTAGTTCGAAGAGATGTCGTGAGCACTTTCGAAGGACGACTTTAATCCTTTAGTAACATATGTGACTTTTGAAGGGTGGTTTTGTCGTCAATAAACACCTTCGAAATGTAACATGGGACAAGAAAGCTTTCGAAATGTGTACCTCCCTTCAAATATATATAAAATGGCAATTAATTAATTATCGAATAATGCTTATTTTTGGCATGATAATTAGTGGTTTTACTGATAACCATTTTTATAGCCATTTGTTACATGAAAATGTAACTAGTATTCTATAAAAGTTGGTTCGAAGAACAACGGTTTTGGTGTTTTCGGAGAATTAATAATTGGTTTAAAGCATAAAATTAATATTTTCATTAATTATGTGTGAACCAAAACATACAAAATTTGAATAACCACAATGTTGGCCAAAAGTTGCTTCGAAAGCCCTTTTGCCATGATTTTGTAAGCTTCGAAGCACTCCATCTTGCATCAACAACAGCTTCGAAGAAAAAAATAGTGACAGTTGTGAACCTTCGAAGCTTTGCCGAGTATTTCCAAGGATGTAATTCGTCCTTTGTTGGCATTTGCGACCTTCTAATGATAATTTTAGTCCTCTATACCACATTCGAAGCTGGTTATTTAGCATGTGTAACAGTTTGCTAAGGTGAATCATTGGCTTTGTCTTGAAAATATGTGGTTATCCTTCGAAACTTTTCTGCAATAATATCCCTTCAATGTGTATATATATAATTCGGAACATTTAGTCATAATTTTATGCTCATTCGAAGCAGTTTATTGGTGCTATTATATCATTCGAAGCACTTTGTTGATATTATTCGAAGCACTTTATTGTTTAGATTAGTCATGTGCTTGGTTCGGCCCTTCAAAAATGCAAATAAACATCATAGATTAGTCATGTGCTTGGTTCGGCCCTTCAAAAATGCAAATAAACATCATTTTTAAGGGTTGCGGGGGGTAATGTTAGCACCATAAATCTGCAATTATTATTATTATTTATTATTTATACAATTGCAGGACATGTGGCATCCTCCTACTCATTTGGAGGTTATGAGAAGTTATGAAGGCATGGAGGGTTATGTGGCATTATGGGAATGAAGATGGAAGAGTGGGTAGTTTTAGGTGGTTATTGGGTAGTTATTGCTGGAAGTTTTTTCGTACAAATATTTGTCTATAAATAGCCATTCATGGCTACATGGTAAAGGACCCAGAATTCAAATCAAAGACAATTGATTTCTATTTTTTTTTGTCATTTTCCTTATCTTAGGAGTAGTTTAATATAGATTTCATTTATTTTCAGCATTTTCTTTTCGAAGCATTTTATGTACTTTCTTTTCGAAGCATAGGAGTAGAGGTAAGTAATTATTACTTTGATTGTTCACTCAATCGTCTTTCTCCGTCTCTCTTTCTTCTTTTACTTTTTCTTTTCTCTACACTTAACAATTTTGAAGTCCTCTTCATTGAGGCAAAAGAACCGTCAACGCAATCGCTTGATAATTGGCTTGAATTTAATTTGTAAGGATTTTTCAATCCTTGCTGGCACGCTCACATTTATGATATTTTCCTTCGCAGGAAAAATAAGCCAACACCCGCGAAAGGATAATATTTCTAGTTTCTTCAGAAGTCCAATGGAGGAGGGGACTTGTCTAATTGCAGTGCAATCTGCATGAAGCTCCTCTAAACAGTCCAGGAAACCCAAATCTTGCGGAAGTTTGTCAACTTTGGAGCACCCAGTGAGGTTTAGACTTGTAAGAGCTTTCAACTGACAAATGTTGGCTGGAATACTTTTCAAATTTTTACAATTGCTTAGATTCAGTGAACCAAGACCGGTAAGATGTCCAACTAAAGGTGGAAGTTCACTTACACTAATCCCATCTAAATAAAGCTGTGATAAACATTTCATATATCCAAAGTTGACTGAAATGTTTTCAAGTTTTGAACACCCAGAGACATTTAGAACTTCAAGAGATTCCAATTGAATGTCACTTGGAAGACTCTTGAGATTTTTGCAGTCCTTCAAGTTGAGGCAAATAAGCCTTCGAAGAATTCCAATGGATGGATGAAGATTAACCAAACTTGTACGCCTTCAAGAATTAATATTTCAAGATTTGGGACCTTTGTGACGTCTGGGCTCTTGGTTAGATATGTTGAGTGACTAAGGTTCATGATCCTCAAAATGCCTAGATGTGGTTGAAGAAAAACAAAAAATAAAAAGAAATTATGAAAAATATACTGTGTCAAGGACTTTGCATCTTATTTAGAATAATTAAACATAATGCACATTCATACCATTGTTCCCTCCCAAAGTTGTTCAATGCTGCTATAGGTTAAGTGAAGTTCAACAAGACACTCTGGTTGAAATGTTGAAGGCATGCATTTCATAGGGTATCTGCACCAATCAAGATATCTTAACTTGTTAGAAAGATATTTGAGGTCTTCTGTGAGGTGTTGTAGACGCGCCCCGAGGGCCTCATGTTTCTATAATTCGGACTCGAATGTCACGGTTCTGAATCTAATCCCGCAAAGTGTAATGCGAGACTGATAAATCACCAAAGAGTCTAAATCCAGCAAATCATTTTGGAAAACTGATTTTTAAGAAAGAAGTGCCAAACATGGACTGCGTTGCCAGATACAGAGTCGCCACCTAAATATTTTGTTTTGGAGAAATTTAGGAAACCCTGACTCGTTGCCTAAGGCCACGTGTCCGTCATCACCAAAGTTGCCTTGGCTCGGGAACTTGGGTACGATTGGGGAAGGTCATCTATGAGCACCCTCGCTCGCCCGATCTGAAGATCGGTCTGTACTAAGCATGATATCTTGTTTTTGAAAACACATGTGTTCTTATTCCGGTTAATTAGCTAGAAGTACTATGTGATGCGCACTGCAAAACAAGTATAGACTAGATCGCCTAGTTCGAACAAAACATCTCATGTTTGTTTGGAAATTGTTTGAAGTTTGCTACTCGCAAATAGGCTAAAAATGTGGATTTCAATGAATTGTCTCAATTCAAGCAATCCAACCTTCACCCACAGGCATTCAGGTAGTTATATCAAATAAGCAGTTAGCCTCATGGCAAGCATGCTGTCATGGCAACATTAACACACATGCAGTATCCTAAAGCGTAAACACTCACAGTGTACTCCGAGCCAAAACAAAGAACATGTTAGTAATCAATGTATGATCCAAGTCCATGTTAAGATGGCTAATGTATCACATACAAAATGCAACTAGAATAGGCTCGGCTAGTCTAAAATGGCATGTGAGATACGACAATTCGATACATGCATTCAAATTAGAATTGAAATACAATACAGTTAGTATGATGCGCCAAGCCCAGTGCATGCAATACAAATGAATGATGCAAACATGCATAGCATAAGGATGCTAATTGAAACGTGCCCTAGAACTAACCATCGTAAGCGGTTAAGTAAAAGGGAGAAAGAAGTAGAGGTTGGTAGACATGTATCACACACACACACGCTTGTTACACAATTGCGCCCTCTCGACGGAGTGACTGAAAGAATAATACAAATTACATAATTAACTAACTAATAAGCTAATTAATTATTACACAACACTTAACTAATTAAGCAAATCAATTAAGCTATGAAAATAGTAAAAACAGCCTCGGGAAGAGGGATGCATGCGTGCTCGGACGGCTTCGCTCAGAAATCCATCGCCATGTCACATGTTGCCTCTGTTTACACTGCTCTGTACCTCTAAAAACTGTGCCAACTCCTGTGACACTTCTGAACCAGTTTGGGGACTTTCTGAGAGTCCATCGGCCAAGAGATAGGGCCATCGGCCATGGGAAATTGGTCATCGACCAAATGTAAAGCTCTCGGCCAACAATATTTAGCCGACCGGCACTGAAAGTAGCTGACCCGCCATTTCTTCCTGCAGAATGCTGTGTTGTTGCAGCAGAGGACAAACAGAGCATGGCAATGCATTTACAAGGAAATGTTTGCATGACCACCCTCCTTATCATGTTTGAGACTCAAAAGAGTGTAGTCCTCAACCCTCGAACCACCAATCACGCATTTCAATGCATGATGGCCAAAGGAGCCGAATGTGCAATTAATGTCACACCAAAACACATAAGAGGCCCCAACCTCTATCATGCTTGATCAAGAGGCAAGGGATGCACATACAATGCTATGCAACCTAAGCATGCAAGCAACTCAAGCATGATGCAAATCTGATGCGACATAAACATGTTAATGACAATGTCATACAAGGTTAATGGTGACAAACATGCCAAATGCAATGCAACCTAAACAAGCATGCAAACATGCAAGGCATGTGGCAACATTCAAGGATAGGCAAGCATGCAACAACATGTAGGGCAAGCATGCAACAACATGAAAGGGACAATACATGCAAACATGCAAAGCAAATTAACAAAAGGGGCATGCCAAATGCGATATAACTCAAGCATGCAACAACATGCAATAGGTCAAGTATGTAACAACATGCAAGGCAAGCATGCAACAACATGCGATAAGGGTCTTAAACCAAAATGGACAGCTCTCAAATAGGTCCAAATCAGTGGCCAAAGTGATGAAACAAAGGCATGAAATACACATATGAACATGCATGCTAATGGTCCATTACCTTAAGCATTGTAGAGCAACTTTTAAGAACGCTTAAAGGGAGACAAACATGGCTATTAGGCAAACATGTTAAGCTCTGAAATCATATTAGGAGAGGTGCCAAACCGACCAAAGCACACAAGCAAAGCATGCAAGAAAGCTTAAAGCTTGAAACTAGCCTAAGGGTTCAAACCATGGCTATACAAAGCAAGCCCCAAAGGGCCAAGAGGACCTAAAACAGTCTTAAGGCAAGTCCAAACAAGACCGAAAGCAAGCTTGAAACTAGCCAACACAAACTAGAACACAACGCCAAAACATGAGGCATGCAAGGCTACCAAAAAGGGCGTTACACTACACCTATCAAAACCAAACATGGCATGATTTAAGCAATGAAAAACAGAGTTATGGCATGTCAAAGTAAGCCCAAAAACTCACTTAGATGGCATCCCAAAGACCTAAGCATGGTGGCATACACAATGACACATTCATGAGGCATAAAACACAAATCATTTAAAGCATTAAAGAAGTGACAAATGCAAGTACATGAGCATATTGTATGGACAAAAATAATAAAACAAGTGATGTCAAACCACTGAAATGATTTGAATAGAGCATGCTAGTGACTCAAACACCCAAAGCTAACAAGCTAGATTGCATGGTAGCTATACAAAACAATGTAAGCATGACCAAAACAATGAAAAACAGAGCTCAAGCATGTTAAAACAAGGCTAGAAACTTCATGGAGTTGAGCCAAAACATGCAAGCATGGTAGTCTAAATGCTAAATACATGTTAAGGCAAATGAGGGGATTGCAAGGTAAGTATAAGGTGCATGCAAGAGACCACTAAACCAACTTTAAACAGAGGTAAATTATGGCAAAAAAACACCAAATACTTGCTGAAATGAAGCTAAAACAGGCTAGGCATACAAGCCACCAACATAAGCCACTTATGCTAGTATTCAAGATGACAAGGAGAGGGGATGACCCTCTCCTATTTAGGACACCAAGACCACCTCTCCACCACTGAAAATCCTCTGGATTTCAGTGGTAGAGAGGCCATGCAAAGCTCAAAGAAAGGGCCAAAAGGGATGGCCTAAAACAAGGCCTAACAAGGCCTTGGAGGGGGTAAACAACCCCAAACCTCAAAATGACCTTAAACAAAGTTCAAAAGCAAGTAAAAATAGAACTTTTATCAGTTAATAGCTAAGCTTAAAACAATAAGCAAGAAGGGCTAAGAGCCTAAGCAAGAAAGGGGTATCTAAAGCAAGAATGCTCACCCTTGAAGAACACCTTCAAGAACACAACACCAGCACCTTTCTTTGATCAAAACCACTCCAAGAACCCTAACAACAACTCCTTAGAACCTCAGCAACCAAGGATGGTGTAATGCTAGGTGTTTGTGTGCAATAGTGTGAACAAAAATCACTTTAGGTCACAAATACACACACAAATGATAGAGATAGGGAGATATAGAGCTACCAAACAAGGCCATAGAGATAGAGAGATACAACTTTTTCTAACCCTAATTTCAGAACCCCTGAGAAGGGAGGAGGGCCTCCCCTCTTATAGAAATCCAATTTGCAAAGCTTCTTGGAGAAGCTAAGCAAAGGGCAAATCCCTCCATACACGTGTATGGAGGGGGTTAATTGTGGATGCCAGCTGGCACAAAATATCTGCATAAAGCAGATGAACAGGGTTTTGCCACCAAAAAAGGCTGATCGACCAACATAAGTGCCGGCCGACCAAATATAGTGCCGATCGGCCAATACTTTTAGCCGATGGAAAGAAAACAGGGCCGATGGCTTCAGGCCTTGGCCGGTGGGTTGAGGGCATGGCAAACAAGCCACCCTCTTCCCTTAGAAGTAAAAACACAAGTATTTGGTCCACAACCAAGCACAAAACAGACAAGTTGAGAGATCTTGAGGCAAGGAGCGTAGCCGAGACCTCTAAGAACTCAAAATGAACACGAGCATGGATGATCATCGAATGTTTAAACGATGACGTCCAAGTCTTGAGGATGGTCAAAAATGGGGTGTCTATAGGTGCATACAACACATTTTGAGAATTTTCAAGTTCGACATCTTTGCAAAAGCCTTAGGCCTCAACTTCAATTCTTTCAGGCCAACGTCCTTGGGATCTTGATGTCCTAGGTCAGGATAATCCATAGCTATGCCTTCCACATTTTTTGTTCCCTAATAAGCACAAGCGAGTAACTGCAACATAATGTTAACAAGCTGACAAAATTATGCAGAATTAGCTTTGTTAAATAAATAAGTATAAAGTGGTCATGCTTTTCTCTAAGATGTCTTACCGTATTCTCCATCAGCACACGTGTCAAATCTTCTTGAAGCCACAACCTACTACACTCCCCAGGCTCTTTAGGTGATTTCTGGCAAACAATATACCACCCTAATTCTTGTATCAAATCATGCATCATCAGCTTATTGTCTGAGATAGTTACGAGAGACTTTTTAACAAGAACATCTATTCCAATAATTGGGTGGAAGCCACAACTATCTAGAATTTTTGTTACATCATTTTTGTTTTTCCCTCTGAAAAAACAGGCAATATTTAAGAATATTTCCTTCTCTACCAATTGTAATGCATCGTAACGTATTCTGAGTACTTGTTGAACTTCATTCAAAGGGCTTTCTTTCAGCCTGTTTAATGAACTTTCCCATTCATCTTTGTTTTGACCACAAAGAAAAGAACCCAAAACTTTGAGAGCCAAAGGAACTCCTTTAGCATATGTTATTGCATGATGTACAAGTTCTCCATAGTCTTCCATTTGCTGCTGCTTCCCGAACGCTTTTGATTTAAAGAGTTCTATAGCATCATCTTCTCCTAATTCCTCAACCTCATAAATATGTGTTATCCCATATCTAGTTAATGCATGTTGATTTCGAGTTGTTATAATGATTTTACTTCCAAAACTGAACCAATGATGCTCTCCTACTAATTTTTCAAGTTCTGTTGATTCATCCACATTATCGAAAACAATAAGAACCTTTTTACGGCATACTATGTTCCTTATCATACTTACTCCACTACCAACACTTCCTATTTTCAAATCTTTTTCCATTAAGATTTCGAAAATGAGTTGTTCTTGCAGAGTTTTCAGACCACTTTTTGCTGAAACTTCTCTAACATTGTCAATGAAGCTGCAACCTTCAAATTGGGAAGAGATATGGTCATAAATAGCTCTTGCAATAGTTGTCTTACCAATTCCACCCATTCCCCATATCCCCACAGCACGAGTATCATCTATCCCTAATCCTAAAAATGCAATCACTTTCTCCATAGGGGAATCCATCCCAACTAAGTCTTCGGAGACACTCGAATATGTATGGTTTAATTTTCTAAACAGTATCCCAACAAGTTCTTGGATGAACATGGATTCAGACCTATAGATTTAGGGGAATAGTAAAAAAAATAAAAAAAGACAAACATAAATAATTCAACTAAAATTTAAGAAACATGACTTCAAAACATAACTCTCTCTGTTTTTTTAGATTATCATAATCCAAAACATAACTCTCTCTGTTTTTTTAGATTATCATAATCTAGATATATTTAAAAGGGCAAAAATTGTTATTTTTTTTAATTTACTAAATACAAAAAATATATATAAATTAAATACATCTTTGTAACCTTTTTTTTTGTTTGTATTTTACTTGTTAGGTACATTTATATTATAGATTAAATGCATCTAAAAAATAAAAATAAAAAATTGACTAAAATATGAAAAAAAAAAAACTGTTTGTGAAACCAAACAGAATTGAATCTTCAATCTAAATTATAGAAATAAAAAGAGAACAAAAGGAGAATATATTAATTAAATACCTAACAATTGTATCACTAGGGTAAGGCCATCTTGATAAATTGGCAACTTGCGCCAAAGCATTCCTCTACCTTTGGACCGTCTCCATCCCCAATACTCCCTGTTTGGACACCAATTTCGCAAATACACCCCCAAAACTCCCTGTTTGGCTTTGCACTTCCGATGGCTTTACGTTATAGAAAATCGGATAAATAGTTGTGTTGCTGCATTCAAGTATCTCCACAAGCTCATCCAAACACCATCTGGAAAAAGCATAGTTATTGGACAAAACCACAATTGAAAACCTTGATTCTTGAATCGCTTTTTGGAGTTCCAGAGAAATAGATTTTCCTTTTTTGAGCTTTTCATCGTCTTTGAAGGTGTGAATTCCCTTCTGAGCCAACGCTGTGTATAGATGGCTGACGAAGATATTAGAAATCAAAACCCTATGAAGATAATTAATTATTAAAATATAAACTTAGATACATACCATTTGATTTCGTTATTGTCTTGAGTTTTGCTTCCTTGAAAGAATATATATGACATTCACAATTGGAAAACCTTAGCACCAGCTCTTCCCCTCCTTTATGTTGTCTTTCAATGGGGCTGACAACGCTTTGATCTACATATATATAGATATATGTAAACCCTAATAAGAATATGAGAGGGGACTGGGCCTAAATAAAACAATTACTAGGCCCTCCTATTAAGAAATCCAAATAACTTAAAACAGGCCTTGCACCTCCATATCACATATCCACATATAAAATAATATATACACCAAGATAACCATGGCTCAAACTTTATGGATCACAATAATAATTTTGGGCTCATACCAGTCAATCTATCTGAATCACGTTCAACCCGTTTTTCACAAACCAAACAAAATATAGTCAATGACAGCCTAATTAAGAATAAATTCTTACATTCTCCCACTTAGGCAACATTGACTACTACTTTAAGAAAATATTTTATTTAAGAAAAAATGACTCTCGTGTTAAACAACTTTAGTGGCCACATAAACATGATTCAGAATAGAAACATCTCAGTACAGAATCCTGTTTAATGAGAAATATTAATATCGAACTGTAGCGGTAATTTTGCTATTGAACAACATAACACCTTCCACAATCACAAACACTAATATCTCACCAACATGGATTCCTATATGTGATAAAGTGTAGTGTGGAATTTCAGCATAATTGATCCAAAAATTATATAACACGCTAATTCCACATTCAGTCTTCTGTATGGTCTTGACAAGACCTTGCAAGGAATTTTATTCCATTTTACACTTCCAAAAGAAGCTTTTATTCCTCTAAACCGAGGTCTTTCACGCTTTAAACCAAGCATCATACTTTATGGATCCATATACACTTTTAAACCAAAACGTTAATCTCTATATCTCAAAATTAAAATATAATTGTAAGAGCTCATATAAGAGGTATACATATATGACAATTACAATTTATGTGTACACACACATAACTATAAACAAAATGTGAATAAACACATTAAACTTTATTAACTGAAATATACCATAGATAATAGTCATGGGTAAAAATTTCTTCAACCAAGCACATAAAAAACTGTAAAGTACCAATGTAACGACCCCATTCCGCCCCTAGTAGAATGGTGCCATGATGGCCAGTAATTCACAATTACCCAAGGCCAACTTGCAAAGGTTCACACACAAACAGAGTATACATATGGGGCGTACAAGTGCAGAAACAATAAATTTAAAGCTAAGTAGTTCATAAGAGCAGTGCATAAGTTAAATGAAATGACAAACACATCATGGTTTTACGTCTTAGATACAAATAGAATAAAGTACAAATTACATCTTGACCAAAAGGCTTCTCAAGCCGTCAAATACAAAATACAAGGAAATACAACTAAGAAGCATGATCTTCAAGATGCTGTAAAAGTGCAAAAATCCAAAACAAGTTGCAAGCACGTCTAGGCGTCACCGCCGTCCTGCTCGTCACCTACATATATATAGAGAGGGTGAGCTTGGATACTCAGTGAATGGTATAAATAATAAAGGGGTTTGCATGACTGATATTCAAGATCTTTATCAAACAATACATAACATAATTAGTGCAAGATGAACTGAGTCCATCTTCCAAATCTGTCAAGTTTCAAAGGATGCTTACTAACATCATTATAATACAAGTGATGACATCTCGGCAAACAAAACCCACGCGGTAAACCGAAAGAAATGTTGTTGTTTATTGATAGAACTAAATGAACATGTGGTTATTTTGTGAAATGGCATGGAAAGGAGAAATGGGGATTTTGATCCTCTTGGGATTATTGTTGAAATATGTGAACATGGGGAAATAAATATTGTTGCATTGGTTTTGTTGCATTGCTTATCCCTTCAATTGGTTATCATATATTTAATTTGAGTTTGGAAACTTGCATTGAGAAAGGAAAGTTTATAATTGAGCTTTTATTGAAATGTTTTGGGGTAAATCTATTGGTAAGTTCGGATAGGAGGTGTAGATGATATTGGTTAAGTTGGCCTGAGTGTCCGGGGTGAAAGACCGAAAACACGCGTAGATGAGGTATTACTTCCTTTCTGATTAGCAACCAGTAAAGTGGGGTTTTTGGTAGTGCTTGATAGTCTCCCTCGTTGTCATCGTCAATATTCATCATCAAAATAAACAACATTTTATGAACAAAAAATACACATCAACTTAAAAAAGGTTAATTACCCTTTTGGTCCGCAAAATATACGATATGTTTCATTTTGGTCACCAACATTTTAATTGTTATAATTTGTAAAGGAACAATTTTTAATTTCTGACATGTCATTATAGTAACATTATTGAAAATTAATTAGCTTAAATAACATTTTCTTTCTTTCACCCAATCTTTATTGAAGCACTACTCCATTTCCAATACACGAATCTAATGGTTTGATCTCTAGGAATCAAGCTCGAAAGCCCACTCTCTCACTCTAAAACTTCTTCTTCTTCCTGGAGCTTCTCTCTCTCTACAAGGCAAAGATATAATACAAAATGTATATTTTCTGGGTCTGTCGGCTGACTTAACCCACTGCAGGGGTACGTGGCAACGGCTGGTTGGTTCTACTAAAAAAGGTGACTGAGTGAAAAGACAAGACTATGACAAAGTATACTCAACAAGCTAGGCGGTAAGAGCACTCTGACAAGCAACGACATCGGCTAACAACAAGACTTCGGCAAGCAAGGGACAATGACCTCGGCTAGAGAGGACAACACTTGGCCTAGCTGTGCCACACCTCGGCCTAGATGTGCCACACCTCGGTCTAGATCGTACCAATCCAGGAGCAAGATCACTTGGGTTCAAGGGTAACATCTCAGCCTAGATAAGTACACATCTCGGCCTCGGCGATGAACACCTCGGCCTAGATAGTGACATCTCGGCCTACATGCCAGGGTGAAGGTGGAAGTCAACCGAAGTAAAATTCCAAGATGGTCTTAGATGTAAGAGGTTCAAAGGTGACCTAGGCTCAGGATGACTTCGGCTAAACTCACACCAAGCAAGGTACAAGCATGTTGTAACACTTAAGCAAAACAAAGACAAGACTTGAAATGCAAGCTTAACAGGACAGAATCCTATAAATGCATATGAGTGTGATCAGGACAGTGTGGGGGTCATTACATCCTACCCCCCTTAAAGAAGTTTGGTCCCCAAACTTGAGTTACTTTGACTTAAGAATAACTTCGGATATCGGACTTTCATTTCTTCTTCCATTTTCCATGTAGCATCCCTGCCGTAATGCTCCTTCCATTCAATTTTCACCATCGGTATTGCCTTATTTCTCAATTGCCTCACTTGTCTATCGATAATACGCATCGGATTTTCTTCATAGCTTAAATCTTCATCCACCACAATCCCAAAATGATTAATCACGTGCAGTGGATCCCGAATATACTTCCTCAACGTCGAAATATGAAACACATTGTGCACTTGACTTAATCCTGGCGACAAAGCAAGTCTGTAGGCAACCGGATTAACTTTCTCAAGGATTTCAAACGGTCCAATGTAACGGGGTGCCAATTTACCTTTATTCCCAAATCCTGAAACTCCTCTCATCAGCGAAACCTTCAGGAATACATGATCCCCAACTTCGAACTCTAACTCCTTTCTTCTCTGGTCGGCATAACTCTTTTGTCGACTCTGAGCGGTTCTGATTCGCTGCTGGATGAGCTTGATCTTTTTTTTTGTCCTTTGAACTAGATCGGGGCCGATCAAAGCTTTATCTCCTACCTCAGCCCAACATATCGGCGATCTGCACTTCCTTCCATACAAAGCTTCATACGGCGCCATGCCAATGCTAGCTTGATAACTGTTGTTGTAAGCAAATTCTACTAATGACAAATGCACTTCCCAACTTCCCTTGAAGTCCAATACATATAGTCTAAGCATATCTTCAAGTGTCTTAATTGTTCTTTCTGTTTGGCTATCGGTCTGGGGATGAAAAGCTGTGCTAAACCTCAACTCGGTCCCTAGAGCCTTTTGTAAACTCTGCCAAAATCTATAAACAAACTTTGGGTCTCGGTCTGACACAACGGACATCGGCTCACCATGAAGTCTAACAATCTCGTTCATATACAGTACAGCAAGTTGATCAGCATTAAACGAAGTCTTAGCAGGCAAGAAGTGTGCTGACTTAGTTAATCTGTCGATTATAACCCAAATCGAATCCATCCCTTTTTGTGTCTTCGGCAAACCAATTATAAAATCCATGGAGATGTGTTCCCATTTCCATTCAGGGATTGACAAAGGTTGAAGAAGTCCTGCTGGTCTCTGATGCTCTACTTTCACTTGTTGACAATACAAGCACTGGGATACGAACTCGGCTATTTCTTTCTTCATGTTCAGCCACCAAAAGATCTGCTTCACGTCTTGATACATCTTGGTGTTCCCTGGGTGAACAACAAATCTAGATCCATGAGAGTCTTGCAAAACCTTCCCTTTCAACTTTGGGACGTCGGCCACGCAAAATCTTCCTTCAAACTTAAGCACTCCATTCTCAAAGGTGTAACCTGACCTCGGCTTGGCGATAATCTCGTCGACTACCTTCTTCAGGAATTCATCCTCCATTTGCCTTGCTTTCACTTCCTCAATAATAGTCGGCTCCACTGAAATCATGGCTAGGCATGCCAAACTTCCCACTGACTTCCTACTCAATGCATCGGCTACCGAGTTTGCTTTACCTGGGTGGTACTGGATCTGCATGTCGTAGTCCTTCAACAATTCAAACCATCTTCTCTGTCTCAAATTTAGTTCCTTTTGAGTGAACAAGTACTTCAAACTCTTGTGATCTGTTAAAACTTGGCAAGAGGCTCCATACAAGTAATGACGCCAAATCTTCAAAGCAAACACCACGGCTGCTAGCTCTAGATCATGGGTAGGATAGTTCTCTTCATGAGGTTTCAACTGACGAGATGCATATGCTATGACTTTGCCCCCTTGCATTAATACACAATCCAAACCCTTATGTGAAACATCACTGTAAATCTGAAATTCCTCGTTACCTGATGGAAGTACAAGAACTGGTGCTATGACTAACCTCGTCTTTAACTCTTGGAAAGCTAACTCCCTATCATCGGTCCATTCATATGCCGTTCCCTTCTTAGTTAGTTGCGTCAATGGAATTGCAATCCTTGAGAAATCCTTCACGGACTTTTTGTAATAACCTGCCAAACCCAGAAAACTACGAACCTCGGACACATTGGTCGGTGTCGGCCAATTCACAATGGCTTTAATCTTACTGGGATCAACTGAGATACCCTCTTCATTAATCACATGCCCTAAAAATGAAATACTGAAAAGCCAAAACTCACACTTGCTCAACTTAGCGTACAACTTCCTGTCTCTCAAGATTTGCAGGGCAAGTCTCAGATGATTCTCGTGCTCAATTGTACTCTTGGAATAGATTAATATGTCGTCAATGAAAACAACTACGAACTCATCTAGATACGACTTAAAGACTCTGTTCATCAAGTCCATGAATGCTGTAGGAGCATTGGTCACCCTGAAAGGCATTACCAAAAATTCGTAGTGGCCATACCTTGTCTGAAAAGCAGTCTTCTCAACATCCTCGGCTTTAACTTCCAGCTGATGGTAGCCCGACCTAAGGTCAATCTTAGAAAAGACTCGTGCTCCTTGTAGTTGATCAAGCAAATCATCAATCCTAGGCAATGGGTACTTGTTCTTAATGGTTACCTTATTAAGTTCTCTGTAATCAATGCAAAGACGAAGTGTGCCATCCTTTTTCTTAACAAATAGGACGGGTGCTCCCCATGGTGAAGTGCTTGGCCTAATGAATCCCTTATCTAACAATTCCTGTAATTGCAATTTCAGTTCCCTAAGTTCAGCTAGGGCCATTCTATAGGGTGTTTTGGAGATAGGTTGCATTCCTGACATGATGTCCACAGTAAACTCTATCTCTCTATCGACTAAGTGGCCTAGCAATTCATTTGGAAAGACGTCGGGAAATTCATGAACAACTGGGATGTCGGCTAAATTAACATTTCTATTCTGATCACTTAGTATACTACACAGGTAGCCTTGACACCCTTTCTGAATTAGCTTACAGGCTTTCATGGACGAAATCAAGTAAGGTGGGGACACTACTCCTTTACCCTGAAATGCAATCTCGGCTTGGTTTGGGGCCTTCAATGTGACACTCTTGGTAACACAATTAATGGATGCATGATTCGCTACTAACCAATCCATTCCTAATATGACATCAAAGTGAGTCATGCTTAACGGCATCAGATCAACTAATAATTCTACACCCCCAATCACTACAACACACGCCCTATAAATGGATGCAACAATCATAGTTCTCCCAGATGGAGTAGATACAGATAGCACATAATCAAGGGGTTCTAGCGGTCTATTCAACTTCTCGGCAAATTCGATGGATACAAATGAATGTGTAGAGCTCGAATCAATTAATATGTATGCATCTTGAGAGAAAATTAAGAGTATACCTGACACTACTGTTTCAACATTCTGGGTGTCTCCTGGCACTAAAGCAAAAACTCTGCCCTGTCTCATCTGTGTCCTTTCGACGTTGCTTCCCTATGCAGAGCCCGAGGTGCCCCCATTTTTCTTACCATCATCAGTCTTTGTCTTCGGACAGTCCTTTACACGGTGGCCCATCTCACCACATTCAAAGCAGGCCCCTGTCGCCCAACGACAAGTCCCGAGATACGGCTTCCCACAACTTGCACACGTCGGCTTAGCATTACCATCCCGATTAGAGTTGTTGGAACTGCTCATGTTTGCCTTCTTCTTGGTATTAAACGGTATTCAGTGACTCTCATAGTTCTGTCTCTTCCTCTGGCTCTCTCCTGAATTCTGATATCGGTTTAAGTTAGCTTCTGCCAGAATGGCCTTGTCTAATACTTCGGCGTAAGTCGACATATTGAGCATGTTGACTCGATCCTGTATCGGTCCACGCAGTCCACTTTCGAATTTCCTAGATTTTCTATATTCGTCACTGATCATATGAGGCGCATATCTCGCCAATTCGGTAAAAGCACAGTCGTATTCTGCCACTGTCTTGTTGCCTTGCATCAGGGCCTGAAACTCTGTGGTCTTGCGATCTCGAACGCTAAAGGGAAAATGCTTGTTGTAAAACAGTTCCAAAAATCTGGCCCAAGTTAAACCAGGATTACCTTCTCGGATCATCATCCACCATCTTCGAGCATCGTCGTCTAATGTGAATGCGGCCAATGTCACCTTCTGAGCATCGGTGCTGGGAAAGATCTCGAACAGCTTCTTCATTTCCAAAACCCATGCCTCAGCCTTCATCGGCTCTATACCCCCAGAGAATCTTGACGGTTTCATCTTCTTAAACTCCCTAATCAAGGCGATCGTGCCGTCCCCATACAAGGCTGGCTGCGGAGGCACTGGAGGAGGTGGAGGCGGAACTGCCTGTCGGCCATTCGTCTGTTCGGCCTGGATAGATGTAGCACTAGCATTCTGTTACCTCATTTGTCTCAACTCACGGGCTAAACCTTCAACTAGTCTTTCTAGTCTGTCCAGTCTATGTTCTGATTGATCTCAGCCAACTGGTGGTCTACCTCTCCTCATGATGCTATGAGTACGCAAAATGCAACTTTAAAATAATCTGGACTAGGAATCATGTATGCAAATAACAAATAGTCATGCCGAGATAATGCACACCTTGTCAAATAGCAAGCAATATGATGCAATCCTAACATCATTCTAAGGGAAATCCTATGCTCTTTAGGACTCAAGCTTTGATACCAATCTGTCACGACCCCATTCCGCCCCTAGTAGAATGGTGCCATGATGTCCAGTAATTCACGATTACCCAAGGCCAACTTACAAAGGTTCACACACAAATAGAGTATACATATGGGGCGTACAAGTGCGGAAGCAATAAATTTAAAGCTAAGTAGTCCATAAGAGCAGTGCATAAGTTAAATGAAATGACAAACACATCATGGTTTTACGTCTTAGATACAAATGGAATAAAGTACAAATTACATCTTGACCAAAAGGCTTCTCAAGCCGTCAAATACAAAATACAAGGAAATACAACTAAGAAGCATGATCTTCAAGATGCTGCAAAAGTGCAAAAATTCAAAACAAGTTGCAAGCACGTCTAGGCGTCACCGTCGTCCTGCTCGTCACCTACATATATATAGAGAGGGTGAGCTTGGATACTCAGTGAATGGTATAAATAATAAAGGGGCTTGTATGACTGATATTCAAGATCTATATCAAACAATACATAGCATATTTAGTGCGAAGTCAAGGGATGAACAAAGTCCATCTAGCGAATCTTTCAAAGCTTCAAAGGATGCTTACTAGCATCAATATAGTACAAGTGATGGCATTCCGGACAAACAAACCCACGCGGTAAACCGTCAGTGGCAAAACAAGGCAAGACAAGGGAGATATCTCAAACCAATGGTGCAGTTGCATTATAGTCCCCTGGCACTAAGGACTTGTGCTACAAATGCTTAGAGTCCCCTAGTACGTACGGACTTCCAAATTTGTGCTGCAAATGCTTAGAGTCCTCCAGCACGTAAGGACTTTCCAAGAATGTCATCAAAACAACATAGTACATATTTCCAACTAGGAATGACCATTCATGCTTACAAATACTTTTCAAAACAAAGCAAAACAAGACTTTTATCAAAACATTATAATATAGCTTTATTAAAAATACCACTCACATAGTTCTTCAAACGTCGGGGTCAGGGCAGTTCAAGTCCTACAAACTCATGGCAAAATCTGTTGAATGCACTTTCAAACAAGTTTCACATGCATACAGATGATCTCGGCATTCCTCAAGACTTAGTCAAATCAAAACAAACACAGTTCTTTATCTCAGGAAAACATGCTGGGCAACTACCAGGTCTAGGCCGAGGTCCCACACCTCATTGCCGAGGTGTGGCCTCGATGGCCACATTCAAAAGCGAAGTCGGGAAAATCTAGGTTTCCCTCTTGATAAACATGAAGAACATGAGCATGAAGAAC